CTCAGGGTATTTGACCTTGAATCGGAATCAGAAGGTCTTGACTATTGAAGAGTATCTGATATTTTTTTTTAAGCTGAAGATTCCAGACTTTGGCAGAGAAGACAGGCCGTGAGATTTGAGCAGATGGCTTCACTTCCCATGGTGCCAGAGGAGTTTGGGATTGATCCAGCCACAGAAGAGAATCGCTTCAGGCTTGGGGGAATGAGCATCTCTCAAGCATTAGTCAATGTCTGATAGAACCCTAGGAGTCCCCAAAGAGAAGGAGCAGGAATGGGGCTGCTCTCTGCCGACCACCGTGTGGAACATCTGAGCGAATGTTCAGAGAATGGAGACACCAGGCCACCAGCCTCTTCCATGCTTAACGCTTCTAGCATGCTCAGATAGGACCAAACCTTCATGTGCCCCAAACGCTGCAGACATTACATACGAAGTCACCAAGAAAATGTACCTGAAGTTCCAGGTCTAGCCTGGTGGTTGAGGCTCAGCCACCCTCGACATAAGCTTGGCAGAGTAGGTAGGTACCAGTATATTAAACTCTGAAAGCTTTTACTATTCTATCCTAAGGAACCAGCATGAGCTAGATCAGACCAGCTGTCGAAATGCCTCATTTCCTCTATGGTGATGCATTCACCTTGTGTGGCTGGGAGTATTTTCCAGCACCTTCCACTGACCAGCTAATTCAGTAGAACCCCCCCCCCCATCTCATTTACCCTCACAGCCGCCTTGTGAAGAGAATGTGTTCCCACTTCTCAGATGGATGCACTAGAACACAGAAGTGCCGCTTGCCAGAAGTCATCTCCCCAGAGAAGTCAGGCCAGGATTGGATGTCCAGGGTGGCCCCCACAGAGTCACGGCAGGACCGATGTGTGGAAATGAAGGGCATGCCAATGCCCATCTAGTACCAAGTGAAAACAAGCTAAAAGCCAAATGGTCTTTAAGAGGGTGCCAATCTAGAACTAACACAGCCAGCTCCTAAAAAATGCAGGCATTTAAGCAGGTGGAGAGAAATCCGCACTCTACAAAGTGAAAAAAAGGCTAGAAGACAGAGAATACAGAACCTCATTTACATATCCAGTATAGACATAGTGATGGAGACGGAAAGTAGGTTAGGACTTGCTGAGGCTGGGGAATGTCTGCCAGTAAGTAAAAGCTTTTTTCAGATGAGTGATGAAAATGTCCAGATATGAGGGGATGGAAGTTTCATCTCCATGGGAGAACACTGGAAAAAGAAAAAGGAAAATACCCTAAAAATAGGTAGTGGTAAGATATTGTTGTGACTACATCAATAACCATGTAAGTATATGAATCCTATCTTAAGACATAAATAGAAAAATCATAACATATATGTAATTGTATATACTAAAGACTACTTAATTCATTTAAAAATTGCATGAAGATTCTGTGATAGCCATGGTATTAACTGTCAACTTGACAGGGTCTAGGGGCACATAGGAAACGGGCCTCTGGGTATTCCCATTAGGGACTGTCTTATGCTAATTAAGTAGAAAGGAAACATCCACTATGGGTGGCACCATTCCCTGGGCTGGGATGTTGGAGACAGGGAGCTGGGTACCAGCATGGATTCATAGCTCTCTGTTCCCAATTGTGAATGCCACGTGACCAAGCTGCTTCAAGTTCCTACCCCCTCAGCTCCCCCACATGATGGACTGTACCCTTGAACTATGAATGGGAACAAGCCCGTTCTCCATTAAGTTGCTTAGGTTGAGGTGATTTATCACAGTAGCAAAGAAGAAACTAAGACAGCCCCCAATATATAAACTGCATCTCTGGATCAATAATGGCCAGAAAAGATTCTGGAAGGAAGTACAAAGTGATGGCTACAATGTATACAGTGGTGGGTGATTTGATAGCTCATAGTTTGGAGATAAGGTCTCCTGTAGTCCAGGCTGGCCTTAGCCTTGGACTCCTGATCCTCTTGTTTCTCCCCCGAAGAGCTGGGATTATTAGGGCATGTTGCCACGTCCAGCTGATGTCAATACTTTATAAATACATAGCATTTCTTTTTGACTCAGAATACTTTTAGAAAGAAAGGATAACCTATCGGTAAGTTCCTTGTCATTGGAAACAATCCATAAAGCTGGAGAACCATTAGATATAGACATTTACGTTAGCAGGAAATTGGAGCTGACAATGTAAGGTAGTACTTTTTAACTGTATTATTGTTTTATAACTGCGTGTGCGTGTGAATGGATGCATCAGGGCACACATGCAAAGATCACAGGACAACTTTTAGGGGTCAGATCTCTCCACCATGATTTCTAGAGGCCAAATTCAGGTTTGCCAGGCTTTTCATGGTAAGAACTTATACCCAGAGCCATTTCACCAGGCCCTTCCGTGTGTGTGTGTGTGTGTGAGCCAGATGTCTTCCTTAGTCACTCTCTAAGCAGGGTCTTTCACAGAATTGGAGGTCACTTACCGCCACTGATTCAACTAAGCTGGTTGGCCGACAAGCTCTAAGAATTCACCTGTCTCTGCCTCTCCAGGCTGGGTTACTGCCCTGCTGCACCTGGCTTTATACATGGGTGCCAGGATCCAAACTCGGCTCCTCCTACTTGCAAAGCAAATGCTCTTTTGAATGAGCCATCTCTCCAAAAGTCCCTTTTATAAGGTTCTAGGTTTATTTTAAGATCTATTTTTTTTTTCAAGACAAGGTTTCTTCGTGTAACAGCTCTGGCTGTCCTAGAACTCACTTGGTAGACCAGGCTGGCCTCAAACTCACAGAGATCCTCCTGTTTCTGCCTCTTGAGTGCTAGTATTAAAGATGTGCACCACCACACCTGGCTAAGATCTATTTTATTTTTAATTATGTATATATGTGTGGGGGGGGGCTATGTGCACCTAAACATGGGTCTTCTTAATTGTTGAGTCATTTCTCCTGCAATCCCAGTAGTTTTTTTTTTTTTTTTTGAGACAGGGTCTCCCTGTAGCCCAGGCTAGCCTCAAACTCGCTATTTATCTGGCCCGTAACTCCTGAGCTTCCTGCCTCTACCTTGTGCAGGGTTATAGTCACATGTCACCATGCTATAATATGGGGTACTTTGTTCAGGGCCTTCTCATGTATATTAAGCACATGCCCCACGATGCCACATATATTTGTCATTTCATTTTATTAATCTACTATCTTAAATATTGATATTAATCTCTCTGGGGGAAGAAAGCCTACATTTTTACAAAATGAGTAATTATAAAAAAATTGCAGTTTAATTAGTATACTAAAACGTATTTTTAAAAATTAGTTTAAAAACAAACTCACCTGTCCCTACAAAGTCAAGACAGAAAGACTACATTCTAATAAAATGTTCAAGAACCCACAGGGGTGGAGGGTGGGCGTGAGACGGCTAAACTGGAAAAGGTGCTTGCTGAGCAAGTTTGGCAATGTGTTTCCATTCCTGGAACCCAAGGACAGAAAGAGAAAACCAGCTCCACAAGTTGCTCTTTGACCTCTAGCTGTGTGCACAGTCATGTGAGAATCTACACACACACACCTCACATCATGTGTGTGTGTGTGCATACACAGGCACACAGCTATAAATAAAAATTCTAAAGCTTATCAAAGAAGACCAGGTTTTCTCTTTGGTCTTTGAAAACTAAAAGATAAATGTTAAGATGAGACATTTGAAATACTATCTGAACGTGTTCCTCCAGTCATCCAAAGGTTGCTGACGCTTAGAATGAGTAATTCTTATGAGGGAAACCAGTCTTTCGTTTTTTTTTTTCAAGTTCAGAGACTGTCAACGAGATGGGAAGCTGGCCAAGCCAGCCTCAGGACTCTGTCAGTTTTGGGGTGTGGCTCTGCAGCAGGAGCTGGTTCCTCGAACTCCCCGACAGCAGTCAAAGAAAAGCCGTGAGCTCTAACAAGCTTTTCCCTTCACTTCACGGGCATCCCGAGTCACTGGACGCCCAGGGCAGTCCGGTTTAGGCTGGAAATGTGCTCCTTTTCACTGCTGTGTTTTCCACTGGAGACCCAACTTCTCAGAGGCCCAGTGGTGGCTTCCTGTTTCTGTCCTGGGAGAACGGAAGTCACTAATTATCCACTTTTCTAACCCACCATTGCCTCATGGTCCTGGCAGTCAGCTTAGCCTGTTTAACCCAGGATGGAGCTGCTGAGAATGTTGAAGTCCCATTTATCACCTCAAAGGACACAGCGAGTGCTGATGCCAAACCAGATTGATCAGAATCCCAGAAAACCAGACCTGGGTGCTGGTCCGATTATCATATTTTCAGGTTGAGATGGTAGGGAACCTACCAAATCTGAGCCCAGCCCTACCACCCCAAAGTGGAACTCTGTCCTCCAGGTAGTATCTCCAGCCTGTGTGCACAGGACAGATTCTTTAAGTAACCTTCTGGAGATATGGCTCAGCTTTTCTAGCCAAAGCAGGGGCTCATTCTGTGATCTTTCCCTTTTTAGCCCTCACTGCGTCCACAGATTGGGAAAGAAACTCGGGGAGGGGCCCTAGATAACACCCCTCTAAACAGGAGGGTAGGAGTTGGGACGTGACCGTGAATGACCTTGAATTTCTGATCCTCCTGCCTCTACCACTCCAGTGCTCAAAGTGCTGGGATTATGTCACATCCCCAGTCTAAGATACCTGGTGCTGAGTATTAAACCCAGGACTTCACGGATGCTCCCCCAAGCACCCTACCAACTGAGCTACATCTCTACTAAGAATTTTAAAATGTTTTGAGACAGGGTCTCACTATATAGCCTTGGCTAGCTTGGAACTCTAGTAGACCAGGGGGGGACTTAAACTCAAGAGATCTGTCCCCTCGGCTTCACCATGCCCAGCCTAAAAATACGCTTTTGAAATTCAAAGGATATTAATCAGCCAAGAGTTTGGGTAACCCCAGAAATACTCGATGCTGGAGCACGACTGCTTTGGGCCATCTCTGCCAACTTTGGCCCACACACTCACCGGCTGCACGGTCCGGGGCATTCTCTTGAGGGCATGAGAGCTAAGAACCTACACAGTTCGCAGTAGAGAGGTGAAAGGCTACAGCAATGTTTATTGAATACAGTGCCAGGTTTATAAATAAAACTTATTTACAATTTCCATAGAGTTGGTCCCCCATCAGCGAGGTGGTTAAATCTCCACAACAGTTTATCTCAAGATTTACAGAACGTTCAAGTACATCTCTTTTTCAAACAGCCACAGTGAAGGGTGACTTCAGTAACAGAAGGACCACCACCATCCTTGCTCTAGGTGTTTAATGAACATTGTAGTAGGTCTAGGGGAAGAACACACATCCCTACCTTCTTACTCAAAGGGATAGACAGCAAAGAACTGTCTTCTATTGGACAATGTCAAGGGATAGTTAAAAAGAAAAAGTAGGTGACTGCCAGTTGAGGGGTTCAGTTAAGACACAACAGTATAAATCTGGTCACTGCCAAAGGAAAGTATTTAGGACACACCATAAATAATTCTAGTGGTTAAGATAATTGAACTAATAGTCAACTTGCCTGAACTGATTCTGTTCAATAAGTTTCCAGGATGCGGAGGGGTGGGTGGTATGTGCTATCCCTCTAGTGTGATAGTAATGCTAGGCCTACTGGACAGCCATTCATTACCATATGGTTACGAGTCGGACATGCACTTAGAAAGAGAATATAAAACTATGTACAACAGCTTGTCTTCAATGTAAGTTGCTCAAAGACACCAATTAAAGTGTGCAAAAATTTGTCAAAAAATCAGAAAAAGCCTTCCCTGGAACAGTGCATTAGCCCATCTGAGCCATCAAGTTGTTTGCCTTGCTCAACAGCTTCCCCGAACAGTCGGAGAACACAGCTATGAAGAGGTGGGCAAGTCTCAGGCTAAAGCAGGATGCCAGCTAACTAGTCACTTTATACATATATATATATATATATAAATATATGTATATATTTATAGAGTACTTAGTAAGTGAAAGAGTTTACAGGAAAGTGCTATCCGGACTCCAGGACACCCAGCTCTTTCCCCTCACAAACTCAGAAGCTAACACCAAGCCCTGGGCTGGTTGTGTCCCAGGGTGTGTGGTGGGGGAGGCCCACGAGGTGGGGATGCTCTGCCTCCCACAACTCCAAACTTCAGCTTCCTGTTCCCTGGGGGTTAGGGTTCTGCAGTTCCCATGCAGGGTTCCTGGCCACACAAGAATCCTGTTTTAAAGGTAGCCTTAAGGGACAGGCTATGGGGCTGCTAAAGCAGAGTCTACCCAGCTTCTACAAAGACTTGGTAAAAGGTAAAAGATAGGAGGTAAGTTTTAAAAAAGTAAGTCACCTCCAACCCCCTTTGAAACTACCAAGAGGTCAGACCGCAAGTCTGAGACTGGGTCCACACTGGGCAATGCCATCCACCTTCCAAGACAAAGCCACCGCCATTGCTCACACCTGGAACCCTCAGTGCTCTCCCCAGAAGGGAACCCCCAAGGCATTCTCAAGAATACCTAATGATTCAGTTCACCAACCTGTCTGCCAACCCCCCAGCCCAAGGGCCAGCAAGGGCACACAGCGTCTTTCTCTCCACAGCTCTGACCCACCCCTCTGGCAGAAGAAAGCAAATACAAAGGAGCTACGAAACGCCAGAAAGGCAGGGAGTAGGAGAGTCAGAGAAGCAAGGGTCTACACAGCAGCCTTGAATGCACCCATTTGGCTGCCAAGGGCTTCTCGGTGCCTTGCTAGAAGCCTGCCCCTGTTCCCGGCCACCCCCACACTCAAAGCCAAAGCTCCCTGCTAATCAGATACAACCAGTTAACACCATGAAAAATGTACGAGGCCCTTGTTTCAAAAATGAGCTCTGTACTAAATGTAACACACTTCTGGGGTGGGGGTGGGGGGTCCTAAACAGACCAGGACCAGCACATCTGACTTTGGGTTATAGGTTTATAATTAAGACATGAAATTCATTCTGGGCCACAACTTTTGGTTTTGTTCTTTTTTTTTTTTTTGTTTGTGGTTTTCTTTCAAGCCAGAGGCTTAAGTATTAGTTCTACTTACAGGGAGAAAAAAAAATCAATTAAAAACCGTATAGAAGCTAAAGGGTATCATAAGTTAAAAACTGAACCAAAGGTGACTGGCAGTCTGAGTAGATGACCGCTTCCACACACACCGAAGACTGAGTTACAGACACACTCATCAAGTCTCCTGCAGGTGGCCTCTTGTGGTCAGCAGCAGCACAGCTGAGATCCACACACACACACGCACGCCTGGGAGAGGCTGTTCCCTCACTAAGCTCCTCTGCCCGAACATCAAGTGACCAAGATAGTCGAGCACGTGCGCACACAGAGACACACAGAAAACATAAGGAGACTTACATGGCCAATGATGACAAAGCAATCAGTGTCGGCCAGGTTTCAGGAGTTGATGCTAGGAACGTGGGAGGGAAACCCAGGTTATCCTGGATGGTGGGCATGTTTCTATGTACGCTGGCTTCCCCTCCAATGGCCTTGTCCTCGTCCCCCTTCAGATCTCAGCTTACAAAGCATTTAACACCACTTTTAAGTTAATGGTCTTTTTATTGGAAAAAAAAAAAAAAAAAGACTAGCATTTACAACTTGGAATGGACGTAAATTCTAATTTCCTGAACAGCAATGTTGATGGTTGTGCTCAAGTCCACAGCCACAGCCTACTCTGCTGGCTCCGGGTCATGGTTCACAAGGTCTTAAAACAGAGAGTCCAAAGATGCTCCCTTGGTAAACATTTCTTATTAAAAATTTGTGTGATTTGGTGACAGCCTTGATGTTTACTTCACTCTAACACAACACACACAGCACTAAACCATCACTCAGGCACGCCACCAGCTGTCATTGTCACCATGGGGTTGGAGCACTTGAAGGACAAGAGGGCCATCCTACTTCTGGGGCTGTGTCTCAAAGTTCAGCTTCACCCATTTTCTGTACATCATCCTGAGGTAAACCAATTTTAAATGTTTGTTTGCAGCAAACTGGCTACTGACAATTGATCTGAACAAATTGTAGAACCCATCTGAGATTTTGAATTTGTTTTTTCCATTTTTCGGTTTTAATACAAAGGCCTGACTGTGCTCAATCGTCAAGCTGCATGCATGAGAAACTGGCCAGCCCAAACAGTGTATTAATCATTAGCAAATGGAACTTTAAGGAGTCCACTAAGTGCTTCCTTATAAGGTAGTACGAGTATTATACTGTAAAACTGATGTGGGGGCTTGATCTTTAGGGGACAGGACCACCAACCAATACATGCAGATTTTGTGTGTGGACAGAAGGTACGTTTGACATTCAGTTTTGCTAGATAGAAACAGAATGAATAAATGAACTTTTTTCTTTTTTCTTTTTTTTTTTGTAAGAGGTAAGTAAAAGATTTCAATTTGATTCTTCTAGAGGGAAAAGTAGTTGAAAGTGGGTCTTCATTTTGCAGTCATCATCTGTACGAATTCTGAAAAGACAAATATAAAGTTTATCTTTAAAAGAAGCGGTAACGGACAGATTTACTGTGTACAATACAAGTGGTGGCTGTGCACAGTAATCGCTGCTGAAAACCAGGCTCAGGACATTTAGCCTTACCTTCATAGTTGACTTGTCCATCTCCATCGATATCTGCTTCTCTGATCATCTCATCTACTTCTTCATCCGTTAGCTTCTCTCCTAAGTTTGTCATGACATGGCGCAATTCTGCTGCGCTGATGTAACCATTTCCATCCTGTCAACACATAGCAGTTGTTACAAGGTGATGGCAGATGGAGGTTCTGGAGAGCAAGCAGCTCTCTGACTGTCCAAGCCTCCCTCAAGGTACCGTCAACATTCCTCCCCACCCAGCTCCCAGCAGTCATCAAACACAAAATGCAGTTTTTCAAAAGCAGACACACTGAACACAACAAAGACAGTCAGATCAGCACTTCTCTCTGCTGGGGCGTCAAAGGAGAGGCTCAGGCACTCCGGCTAACTCTAACCAACTGTTACAACCTTCCGCGGTGACAGCCCAGAGCCATGTAATGTGCCTCTCCAAGGCCAAGTGTGCAAGGTTACCTTGTCAAAGACTCGGAATGCCTCACGGATTTCTTCTTCGCTATCTGTATCTTTCATTTTTCTAGCCATCATGGTCAAGAACTCTGGGAAGTCAATGGTGCCATTCCCTTTAATCACAAAAAGAAAAGATAAGCATCACACAGACAGCCCTGTGCAGTAATCTTAGAACACTGTACAGAGAAATGCACTGCTCAGACAAATGCACTCTGTACAATTCCAGCGATAACTACAACGATGAACTATTTTTTTTAAACTATTCATTTTTCTTAGGCCAACCTTCTGTAACCTCACAGAGCAATGTCACATGTCAAGCAATATCAAGCGACGCGGCAATGTGCAGCACAGCATTTACAGCAAAGGAAGCTGGACATCTGGGTTCACAATAGCATTTACAGTGCAAAGGGAGCTGCACATCTGGGTTCACGATCATGAAAGCAGACTACACCATTTGGAAAAGGAAGCATGCAATTGCCTGTCCAGGGAGAACACTCAGACCTAACTAATAATGTCCTAGCAATGTTCAAAACGCTTTAGGGGGAAAAAAGTGAGAGCAAGAAAAAAAGCCTACTATACCCTGCCCAGTTCCCCAAGTCTTCTCCAGATGTACTTCTGGCCCTATTATATATGTGATCTAACCATGCTCTTACCCAACTTGGCTTTTTGTTTGTTTTGGTCCTGGGGATTGACCCCAGGGCCTCTCATTATGCCAAGCACACACACTCTTATTCCCAAACCCCCAATTCAGCAGCTTCATTTTCCATGAAGGGAAAAGCTCAGAAGCCGTTCTCAGATTAGGGTCATTAATCTTCAGTAAACTGTCAGAGGAATCCACCCAACAGCCAACATTCCAAACAATTCCTCTAAAGCTAAGGGATAAATATTTCCAAAGACAAATCCCAAATTAACACTAACTTGAATTAAATGGAAATAACATCACAGAAAACAACAACAAAACCAACAGAAAAACCCCACCAAAACAGGAGTTATTTACAATTCATTTTCACTAGCACATTTAAAGCTAGTAGCTTTCAAAGGCTTGTGTGGATGATGGTTTAGTGCCCTGGGTTCAATCCCTACAATGGTGTATTGATGTAAGTGAACACAACATCAAAAATTCCTAAAGTCTTTGAAGATATTTATATAAGACAAAATAAATGACTAAGTGCTACCTAGAAGCATGTGAAGAGATCCTTAGGAATCAAAACAAGGCTTGATGCAGCTTCTCCCACTGTTTCATACACTCTGACAGTCAAACATAGTCTCCTACCGAGCCTGGTTTCCCAGGATTTACAGAAAACAGAGAGGCCTGCCCATGTTCCCATATGGTTCATCAACCAGACAGAATTATGGACGATTTTTCCTAAAACAGCACTGAGGAGGAGAATCATCTTTAGGGGTATTTTAATGGTACAGAAAACCCACGTCTAACACAACACTCTCCGGTGCCATGTTTTCTAATAGCTGCTCTCACAGCATCGGTTGACAAAGCACAGCTGAGGCCCAGGCTCTGCCTTCCTAGCTCCTTTCCAGTCTGCAGTCTTAGGACACACATTCCTGGACTTATGGGACTTTTCAACTAGGGAGAGTGCTTCCAAACCAGCTTACTGACAAAAAGGAGAATAAACTCTGTCTGCTACTGTTCTCTCGGACAGACAGACAACTATTAGGGGAGCTGCTGGTTCTTCCGGCCCTCAGCCTTACACAGCTTTTCTTCCACAAATGTAGTCTTCAGACACCACTCAGTTCCCAGCTAATGTCGAAGGGTGCCCTTCGGTCACCGCCCTCAGGTTCTGTCTCTTAGAAACAACAGCAAGCTCTCTGGCTACTCATTTCTACTTCCCCCACAAAACTTGGTATAGCCTCGGGGGTCAGCCGATAAAGATTAGAGCTGCAGGTCCCAGTAAGTAGGAAAAACAAAACCCAAAACATAACAAACAAACAAAAAAATCCCAGTGATCCAATCCAGGAAATGCTCTAGACCACAGCAGAACGAACTGGACAGCAAGCCCACTGTCTTCTATTTTAATATCAAGAGGCTGCGAGGCAACCATAGAAAGGAACTCTGCACATTTGTTTTACTCTAGGGACCTTAAAAACATTCTGTGACAAGTCTGAATTTGAATTACACAACAGAGGTGTGCATTCAGTTCTAAAGCCCTTACCATCAGCATCCACTTCGTTGATCATGTCCTGCAATTCAGCTTCTGTTGGGTTCTGACCCAGTGACCTCATGACAGTCCCAAGTTCCTTTGTTGTGATGGTGCCATCACCATCTTTGTCAAACAGGGAGAAAGCTTCCTTGAATTCTGAAAAGAGAAGTTTACTAGAATCAGTGTTTTTACCCAACACTGTTGTGATACACACTCCCCTGGGGCTTGCCAAGACAAGCTGTCCAAGTTATCAGAAACCACCTGGCCTTTATCTACAGAAATAATAACCACAATAGGCCTGTAGGTCTGGCCAGCACGCAGTAGCCCAGAAACCAAACATTGTCCTGGTAACCAGTTCAATAAAGCCACAATATCCTATTTTTTAAAAAAGCTAGCCTGACCATACTTAACTTGGTCACCAAGTGCAATCTGAGATGCCGATTTACCAGTTACAGTAAAGTCCCTTTCATGTCGCGCTTCTATAGTTTCATAGCGACACGGTTACTAAAAGGGTTCATTCCCAGGCAGCCACATCCAGGATATTTTCAGAATTCCAGGTTTATCTTATGTGCATGCCTGCCTGCCTGCATCTGTATGTCCATCACGTTCATGCCTGCTGTCTGAAGAGGTCAGAGGGCAGTACTGGATCCCCCAGAACTGGAGTTAGAGACCACTGAAAATTACATGTGTCTTGGGGACCTAACTTGAATCTTCTGCAAGAGCAGTAAGTGTTCTTTCCCACTGAGGCATCTCTCTAGAAACCACCTTAAAACATTAAGACGGAAACATTAGAGATAAAGTTGCTGGGCATGGTGGCACCCTGGAGGCAACTGCAGAAGATCTCTGTGAATTCAAAGCCAGCTTAGTCTACGCAGTAAATTCCAGGACAGCAAGATTTACAGAGAGATCCTCACCTCAAAACAAAAAACAAATAGAAAAAGAAAAACTGATCTCCCTCCAAGAGTAAAGACTAAATAAACGTGACTCATTTCCCAATTATTACAGCATTAAATCTACCTGTTTCCATATATTTTAGCATAGCAAGCACAAGCTTCACTGGTAGGCCACTGAAGAGACCTGTGTCTAATAACTCTGGAGCAGCAGGGTCAGTGCATCTCCTTCTCTGGGCAGCTGTGCACACCCCAGAGTGTGCCAGGCAGGCAGGGTCCATTCCACATCACCTCTAAAACACCTGACCTCACTGTTTCTGCTCAAGAATTCTTAGAAAACCATGCGAACAGGAGAGGGAAAGAGACAACACAGGAGATACAGTAACAGGTCAGAACCTAGTTCCCATTTCCTGGGGTCTCCCCAGTCTTCAACTTACCAGCAATCTGTTCTTCAGTCAGCTGATCAGCCTACACGGAGAAAGAAAAGGTCATAATTCAATCTAGGCAAGTTTGGTTGATAATAACCTAGCTTTCCTAATTATACTTAAAATTGTGGGTTTTTTTTTCAAATCAGTAATTTAAAAAAGCGAGTGTTTCAAAATCACTAGCACTGCCATTAAGTGAAAGTTACTATAAAAAAGGAAAACTGTTTAGGCTCGCTTAACAATAAAGGGTGACAAAGAGTGACAGCATGTGCTGGTTTCATTTCTTTGGCCTGCTGCTTGCAGTTCGCACTGCAATCCAGTAATGTAATGTGGAAAATGGCGCCTCTAGTGGTCAAAGTATTCACAGCACCAGCAGCAGCAACACGCAGAGAAAGAAGAGCGCCACCTACTGCGCCAGAAACACTGCAGTCGCTGGCTCCATCCAAGAGACCCAACCCAATGCCACCGACAAGGCAGCCAGCACCAGGATCCTGTCCAGGGGCAGGCTTTTAGTGCACCTTGCGCATAGCTCTGGGCCCTCCAAAATCTCCACAATGGCGTTACATAATGGTATTGGGTTGGATTATCAGGCTTTTATATCCATTTTATGAGAAACAATTAAGTGAAAAAAATATACAGTAATGGGTTACCCACCACCCCAGTTTCATTTCTACGAAATAAATGCTTTCCAATCATTTAAATTAGGCAGCGATTTGCTAAAAGTCTACCATTTACAATGGCTAATGCCTTCGGCCAAATTATCCTATGCTTAGGAAGCCAGGAAAAAAACTGAATCTTAGGACTATTATAAAACTGCAAAAATGAAGCACACAGAAAACGATACTCTTTTTGAGGCGACACAATAGGCTTTTCCTCATGTACAGGAATAACTATTATCATTTTCTGGTATTAACACTGCCCGCCTTAAGAGTGACAGAAAAGCTGCTGATCGCCAACATTCAGTATTTCCATGTACTAAATGACCACGAAGTAGCTTTTTATTTTTTCACTTGCACTATTTAGTGTCTGCACCCCTGAACCTGTGCCTCCAGCCAGGGGAACTCAAGATCTCAAAAAGAATATATATTTTTATTTTAATGAAGCCAGTTGCAAATTAAACTCCAAGAGAAACCCGGTGGCACTGGAGTTTACTCTTTTCTGTGGAAACTCGCCTTATACATTGATTTGGGGGAGGAAAGACTTTCTACTTTTTATATTTTAAATGGGTCTTCCTCCTATCCATTACTGGAAGCTACTTTCAAGGCAAATGGAGACACGATGATTTATGTAATGCCCAGCCATGTCAGTCTTGTACGACAGGAAGCACTGCCACACCTCGTAGGAGAAACTGTCTGCTCAGTGAGAAGAGTTCCACCTCCTCGAAAAATCCTCTGACTGGAGGCCTATCAAATGCATCTACCTTCAGGACAACGACTCCCCCCACCCCCAAGTTATTCTGGCCTTGAGTCAAAGGCGTTCTAGCATCTCCGCCAGGGCAGAAAGTGCTGCTGGTGATGTCAGCTCTGCCTGGCGAGGGAGAAAGGGGCTACGACACACGCACCGGGCCAACCCGCACAGTCGCATCTGGCAATCCAGAGGCTGTAGAGAAAGCGGAAACGTGGAGACAGGCATCTCCCTGCCGCCCAGGGAGTGGCGTGAACAAGAGGCACACAGGGCGAGGGGCCGGACCGGGGTGCAGGCCCAAAGGGGCCCCAGGACCGGGGTGCTGCCTATCCCCGGCACCTCCTACCGCTCCCCCAGGCACAAAGCCTGCCGCCGCCTCCTCCCTAGCAGAAACTTTGCGTCTCTAATGGAAACCGTGGCGCGCGCCAACTCTCTCCTCCCCCGCCCCGCCGCCCCAATTAGCGCGAGCCGAGCGCCTCCCGCGGGAAGGGGCCTCCCCGTGGACCAGGGCGATCGCGCCCGCCTAGCACCGCACCAGGAGGGCGGGGGGGGGGGGTCGAGGTTGCATGGCCCGGCCACGCGCGCGGCCACCCCGCGGGGCCCCGCCCGGCCGTAGGGCGGCCGCTTCCGCCCTCTCCGCCCCCCAGCCTTCGCCTTCCTGCCCCCAACCCCACCCTTCCCCGGCTCCTTCCTTCCCAGCTCACGCCCGCGCCGCGCCCCCCGGGAGGAAGGAGGGGACCGTAGCCGAGGGAGGGTGCCCAACTGGGTCGGCCGGGTGACTGAAGGTGGCTGAGGGCACCCAGGAGCCCTCGGCCCAAACCCTGTGCGCCACCGGCTCGCCCCGACCCATTCATTCTCCGCGGCTTGGGGCTGGCTACCGGGACGTCGCGGCCTGCCCCGCCCGGTTTCCCCCCCGCCCTGCCGGCCCCGGCCGAGGCGCTGCAGGCAGCCCGGGTGCGGCGCGCTGGATGCAGTGGGTGCGGGGCTGGGGGAGGGGGTGGATGCGGAAGGCCCCGGTGCAGCTGTGGCAGCGGCTCCAGCCCGCGCACAGCCCACTGTAGAGTCCAGCCCCAGAGGCGTCCAAAACTCAAGAGGAGGATCCCTGGCAACCAGAGCCGAGATGCAAACCCGAAATGCATCCTTTTTAACCGCAGCCTCCGCGTAGCACCCGGCAAAGAGGGGTGGGGGAATAACCTCAGCCAGGAAAAGGGGGGAGCCCCAAGACTCAACTACAAATCTGGGGAGAGCTTGGGCAGCTGCTAGCCTGCGACTGCCGATCCCGACCTACCATGGTGCGAGCGAAGGAAGGAAGAGCGGAGCAGGCGAGGGTGGCTACACCAGCGCAGGGGCTGTGACCGCCGAGGTGCCTCCGCTGTTGCTGCTGCTAAGGCGCTACCTGCGCTGTGCGCTGAGCCTCAGCCGCCGCCCGACTGCGAGTAACGGCACTGCGAACACGAGACTCCCAGCACCACTGCCGTAGCGCGAGCCTGTGTGCCGCGATATATATACGCTGCGCCGTATCCCTCCGCCGCGGCAGTACCGCCTCGCGCAGGGCGGCGCTGCGGCAGCCGGGCCTCGCCGCAAGGCCCCGCCCCCCAGGCGCGCCCGGCGCGGTGGGCCCATTCTGCGGGCAGGGGTCACTGGGGAGTCCAGTGCTCGAGCGTGGGGTGCTGGCATGTGCCACAAGTATCCCGTGGACATGGAATGCCCCTGAATGAGACCTGGGGACCGCCTCGGGCTTTCAGCCTGTGCCAGTCACCTAGCCCCACTCCACCTGTGTATCGCCCTCCCACCACCTCCTGGTGGGTACGGGGTCGTAGAGCCCACCCTCCTGGGTCCTCACGGGCCGCCTAGGGCCCTAGGAGCCGCGGGAGGTCTGGGGGCTGAGAAAGCCGCTTGGAGGAGGAGGGGAGGAATCGACCTACCACTTTGAGCAGCAGAGGAGAGGGAACTGTGTGAGGACAAGGTGGACGGCCTTGGAGAAGAAATTAATCGGACGTTGTACTTTTCTCATTTTGGAGAACTGTCCCAGGCACAGCTGATAAGTCTGTGCCGTGTTTACAGGCTCAACCAGTCTAGTTTTCGTGTTTTTACATTACCACTAAATTTTTAAAGATGCTGGAAGATTTGTCCCCTGCTGGGTTTGTTCCTTTTCCTATGGCAGATTCTATTCTGCCTGCTTCTTAAATGAATGCAGTGAGTAGCTTATATAGACCTTAAAACCTTACATGCTTTTTTCTAATTGTCCCGGTCCTAAAATCCATAAATTCATATACACAAAGGAGGGGAAAGATACTCAAAATTCCTCTGCTTACAGCTGGAACATGCACAGCCAATTGATTCTGGTAGGGAGCTAGACAATCTTAATTACAATCTTAATTATAATCCTTAAATAATATTTTAATCTTTAAATTCGCTATTCTCCATTCTCTGTAAACTGGGGAGGGGCAACACAAAAACTATCTCGGGTCTTAATTTGGCGCCTGGGACTTAAAAAAAAATCTTAACAAAAAAATGCTGCAGTTTCTTTGCTTGCCAAGACAGAATACAGAATTTGATCTTTTGCTTGCAAGGCCAGGACAAGCTGCAGGTTGTTTATTCTTTCAGAAATTGTGGCAAAAAATGTGTGATTAGCATGCCCTGCTGGGAAAGTCGTATTTTCCTTGGCTTTGGCAGAGGCTGCAGATAGGTGTTTTAAGATAATAGGAAATGTCCCTGCACGGTGCAGATGCCAGAGGACCTCTTAGGATTGCCTCAGACAGCCTGTCAGGCACTGGAGGACTGGCTTACCCGTGTTCTGGAATGCTGCAGAAAGGGGGAACCTGCTGTTTAAGGAGAAGCTGTAGCCCCAAGCCTGGGAACGGTGCTGGCTTCCTTCCCTCACAAACACACATACCATCCCTGGATTCACAGAGAACAGAGATTAATACAAAGTGAATTTAAAGCATATTCAACAATCTAATGAATTCCAGGTCTACATGGCCAAACTCATTATAACTGTTTCGTTCCTAATAGAATTTGTCTTTCTTTTTCTATCAGGCTTTCATAAGGTAGTTACCTAAATGCATTTTAACATTTGGTATGCGATGATAAGGGAGAAATGGTGGCCTAAAAATGAGGTACGTTTAATTATTGTGGATCCTTTTGTTTCTGGTAGTCTTCCGTCCCTTATAATTATTTTGGTTACATAGATACAACCCATGGTTTCACAAAACCAGCCGAATATTTTCCTGTACCATTTAACTATTTCACTAAGTAAAATGTCTGAAACATTTTCATGACTTAACTTGCTAAGCACCATTCATCCTAAAGTTATTTTAATAATCACAGAACAATTTTCTGTCCGTTCATATTTTACAAATGAGTGCTCCTTTGGAATTCTTTAACATATCAAAGCACATAACTAGCTTTCAAGTGTAGTGGGTTGGTAATGAGGTCACGCTTTACACAGCTTTATGGCTAGTTTCACACACTGAAATATAAGAAGGTCAAGTGACTTGCCCAGGATCTTCCTGTGAGTCGGTGATTGGGCATAAACTAGAGCGTGAGTCTTTGCTCAGGGCTCTAATATTAGATTGTATATTAGTTAAATCAGTATCTGAAAATTTAAAGATACAATGTTAAATATTTGCCTATTTCAGAGGTCAGATTCTCTGGCTGGCAACTTAGGTCCACCGAGTGTTCGTGTCCCAGGGAATTAACTTCCTAATTCCTGAAGAGGTCAGCAATTATATAAAGCTTCATTATGGTAATGTACCAAGATCCCAAAAGCCTATGGAACATTCTGTGACATTAAAAAAAATAGTTTTATGTGAAATTATTTAAATCAAATAATGTTAAATAAAAGAGAAGAGGAAAGAATGCGACCCCGGGCCAGAAATCTCAAGACTGCCCCGTGCCAAGCCTCAGCTTCTCTCCATGACCCCTTCAATCTAGCTTTCATGCTGCCAAAACCAGTACCACGTGGGAGGCTCTTAAACATTGCCAAGTTTGGCTGCCAGCTTGAGACGCAGCCTTGGCCCCTCTGGACCACAGCTTTGTGTGCTGACACTAAAGAAATATTTCCCAGAAGGTTTTTGCCTCTGTGATGTTGGTGTCTTCTTATTCACAGCTGACTTGTTGCCCAGATGGATGCACCCATTGTCCAAGGAAAGATTTCACTTTCATGGATTCGGTTTTTTTTTTTAATTTTAGAGTTATTTATTTTACTTTATGCAACTGTATATATGTACACCAGATGCTTGCCTGTTGGATTTCCTGGGACTGGGGTTACAGATGGTTGTGAACCACCACGTGGGTGCTGGGAATTGAACCCAGGTCCTCTGCAAGAGCAACCAGTGCTCTTAACTGCTGAGCCACCTCTCCAGCCCCTCCACAGATTCCTGATTGAACTATATCACACAGTAGCATCTCTGAGCAACTCTCAAACTCCCTCCGGGACTTTACAGGCCTTGATCATCTGCATTTTTCTTAATATTCTTTTCCTCCACATTCTTACAAAAAAAATCTCACTAAACTCTGAGGACTCAAGAGCTTTCCCAGCTCAGTTTCAAATGCTTCCACACCTTCCCCAAAGCCAAGATGGTTGGGTTCATCACAAAAGAATCCCCCTCTTAGGTATCAATTTCTACCCTAAATAGTTTTCTGTTGCTGCAATAAACGCCATGACCAAAATCAACTTGGGAAGGAAAGGATTTATTTTAGCTTGTAGGTTATACAGTCCACCAGGGAAAGATGTCAAGACAGGAGCCCAAGGCCGACAGCAATGGAGGAATGCTGCCTTCTGGAGTGCTTCCCTACACCGTTCACCTCAGTGCTCAGCCAACGTTCCTGTATGGCCCAGGCCCACCCATCTAGGGATGGCGCTGCCCGCAACAGGCTAAAACCCTCCTGCCTCAACTAGCGGGTAAGAAAAGGCCTCACAGATCAGTCTCATTTGGCCAGTTCTTCAACTGACTTTTTTGTATCAAGTGACAGCTCAAGTTAACTATGACGCCTCCCTTTTGCCCACGGTCACAAATATACAACACAAGAAAATGGAGTCAGGGATAGAGAACTAGAGCACAGAGAAATAGCTGGCCTGACTTGGACCTCATCGTCCCTATGCTTTGACTGAACTTGGAAGCCACGAGCAGCCAGTGGTTATAGAGACCAGGGGAACTGAGTGCATGAATTGAGAGAGTAAGATGCCCATGGGATAAGATCAAAGTTTCATGCTTCAGTTGTTCATACTGAACTCAGGCTCCTTTAAAAAGAGGCATCTGTGATGTTGTGCAAAGTAGGGTTTTGTTTTTTGAGAGTCTTGCTATGTAGCGCAGGCTGGCCCAGAATCTCTATGTAACCCAGGCTTTTGAATTTATTATCCTGTCTCTTTCTCTGGAGTGTTGGGATTAAGGATATGCTACCAAGACTAGTCCTTTAAATCATATTGTTTTGGAATTAAGTAGGCAACCATTTTCTTTATAATCCAAAAGCCAAATTCAAAATTACCTTTAATCAGTATTCAAATCGGAGTCAGCAACTTACCGTGTCTATCAAATGTGCTGGGGGCGGGATCTCACCCTAGCCCAGTTCACAAGGATAAGCTTTCAGCAATTGTTTAGTCGGGGGAGGGTTGTGTGGCCACAGTCAGCTGGCATGGTAGGGTTTTTTTGGGTGACTCAGTTGCTTACAGAGCAGAGTGAGTGATTGGCACAAGTTGGGATGTCACCAAGGCCTGGATGGGCATACAACTGAACTGTAATGCTAAATTAGATAAAACTATGCTGGTTGCAGAACATATCAAAACATGAGCTCGCCAATTCCAGAAGAGTGAAGATCCAATTGGTAGGAGCTATGGAGATGGCACAGTGGGTGAGAGGGCTTGCTGCACAAACATGAGGACCCGAGTTTGAATCCCCAGCAGTCATGTAAAAAGCTAGGCCAAGCTGCATGTGCTTGTAATTCCACCACTGGAAGGCAGAGACAGAAAGACCCTGGGATCTCATTAGAAAGTCAGCCAACCAGGCAGGTAATCTTCACAGTAAGCTTCCAGGTCCATGAGAGAGCCTATTTTGTGGCAACAAGACAGAGTGACAGAGGAAAACATCCTGTGCTCCACACGGGGGTGTGGCCCCTTACACACATTCACAACTTAACAAAACAAAACAAAACAAAACATAAAATGATCAAGTTAAGTAGTAATGTGGTTGGGTTTTCATTCATAGTGAATAACCTTTGTCCTTTCTTCCAGAGCTGAGCTGTCCATTGCAGGAGCCACTAACCATGTGTAGCTATTTAAATCAAGCAATTCCAACTTTAAAATACAGTTCCTCAGTTTTGCTAGCAGTACATACTCCTATATGTGGTGGCCATTGTATTGGACAGTGCAGAAAACATCCATTCCTGAAGAAACTTCTGTTGGGTGACACCATTCTAGAGATTTTTTTAAAAAGGAACAATGCATCTATAGGTGCCTAGATCAGTGACCCTGAAGCCCCCAACATCTTAA